AAGGGCTAATGCTATGTTCTTTTTGCTTTTTACCCAAATTAGCAGATAATTCTACACATAACACTAACTATTACGCTTTGTGTCACGCTGGAATTTTTTGGGATACCGAGTCTACATTCAGAGCCAAATCCACAGCAAATATATTTTGCAGCACAGATTCTTCTGTTCCTGTTGTCAAGCATACAATTCATGTTGAACTGCTGTTCATTGCCAGAGAGAAGCCACTCCTCTTCCTGGAATGAAGAGAAACCTGCTGCCTCCTCTCTAACACAGTGAATTATCTCCGTCCACATTTTCCCTCATTTTGTCAGAGCTGTCTGACAAAATGAGGGAAACAAGGAAAAAGTGATGAGTCCTATTTGCTGCAGATCTAAACACAGGAAACACAGGCTTAAGCTTATCAAAGCTCAGATTTGATCTACTGTAAGGAAATGAAAATGTCTGAATGAGGGCTTCAGTTGTGCTTTTTAATCTGTCTGGATTTACTCAAGTATCCAAAAACTCTTATCTGTGGGCACAACTACTGAATAAGCTGTATCAAGAACTACTAGAAAGAGGAGGAGATTAAGAAGAGTTTCCAGCTGTTATCAGTGCAGAAAGGGCTTCAAACCAAAGCTAGTTCTGTAAACACGTGATTAGCTAAAGAAGACTAGCACTCTAAACTGCTCCTCATCCACAACACTATGTTGGACTTAAAGATGTGGCCTGTGGTGTGTGCACTTGGAGGGCCCTGAAAGTCTCCAATTCCCATCTGCAATGTGTGGCCTCTTACTGTGAGAGCCACCTCCAGGTTCAGTATGAAATTAGGACTTTTCAAAACCAGCGATCAGCAGTATATCAGTTATCCTCTGTGCTACGGAGGTACACAGCCATGATGTTCTTATTTTTATTATTTATTTATTTTTTTCGTCTGTTGTTAATGCTATGGAAGAATGGTTGTCCAAGGCCAATTTAAACTTAAGTGCCACAAAAACACAACCCTATATCAGTAGTCCTGTATATACACAGTACAGTTACAAGTGACATTAGTACCATGAGGACCTAGTTTGAATTTGTATTTAAAGTAATATAACATCATCAGAATGAATCAACTGTAGTTTTTTAAAGTCTACAAACAGAAACTGTTACATTTCCAAAACACCATGTGCCAAAAGATTCCTAGAATTACGATTAAATAAATAAAAATTCTGGAAATGATCTTGGCTCTTGGTGGTGGAACACGGCACCAGCACTTTATCCTATGAAGAACAGTGTCGACAAGTAAGCCCAACTGGTCAATATATGTCGGGTGTTTTGGACTTGGAGAGGGCATTTAACCGCATCTCTTGGGGTTGTTTTGTAGTATGAGGCATCGTGTCTGTTGTTACAAACTGGGCATTAGTACATTTGCAGTGATTCACATTACCAGCAAATTCAAATTCAAATGAAGTGGATATTGGATTCTGTTCATAGTTTTTGAACTGAACTTCCATGTACATACAGTGGTGTGAAAAAGTGTTTCAAATCATTAAACAAATTAAAATATTAGACAAAGAAAACACAAGTGAAAAAGCTTGGATCTTGGAAAGAAATTGTTTTTCTTTTTGGCACAACATAGAAGAGCCACCTACATGGGATAAGACTCAGAAGCTTA